CGCCAGCCTTCTGGTTAGCAGTCAAGTGCTTTAGCCACTATGCTACCAGAGCTCCCTCTAAACTCCATGTTCTCAATTCAGTGACCATTCTTCCCTCCCTCCTCTCAGCCAGTACAGGTGACAGTCTAAAGAGTCTTGGGCCCTGTGGAGTTCAACAGTTGATAGAATTTTCCTTTTTCAACATCAATATTAACAGAAGGCTGGCCAGCTTGCTGAAGTCTGTTCAAGGTCCTTCCATCTTTCATCTCAAGTCATATACTATCAGAAGCCACATGCTCCTTTACCTCTGGTTTTGCTGAACTGGGAAAAGCCTGAGGGTATGTGTTCTCTGTCTCACTGATCACATTAGCTCCAGAAATGTGTGCTAAATAAACAAATGACTGAATCAGATCTTCCTGTCTTAAATATCTTTCCTTCTCCATAGCCTATTTTTTCTCTGACCACTCTCACAAACTTTAAAGGACAGAATGCTGAATCACCTTTAGGGCTCCATGGAGCATCATCTGAATTCTTCTTTTTCTTGTGTCGAGATTTCAAAGCAGGGTCGTCATCATCAGACTCCAGTGATGGATAGACTGCAGGGAGAGGGAAAAGCAGGATTACTGAGATCTCAATCAAAATAGGGAAGATAGAAGGATACCTATTCAGCTCCTCCTACTCTCCTACAAGTGTACCCTTTACTTAATCCATTTTCAACTGCAGAATCCCTGCATATACAACATACTTTTCATGCCTGTGTACCTCTGCTGCAAATGCCCTAACGGCAATTTCACCTAATTAACTCCAATTCATTCACCCAACATCCATTTAATAAGGAACATGAGTTACTTTACTCATCCTTCAAAATTCTGCTCTAGACTCATCTTCTACAAGAAGCCTTACTTTCGTGAACTGATTCAGATGCCTCCTAAACTCTTCATAGCATCCTGTGAATACAATTTTTCTACTGGATTTATCTGTCAGGTGCCCCCAATTTACTGTGAGGGTAGAGATGTGTATTATTTTATTTTATACCAATGGAGCCTAACACAATGTATAACCGGTGCTCAATAAATAAGTGCTGCATGAACAGACAAAGAAATGGTACACACATTATTCACACAAAGGGAACAAAAAGATCACCTGGGTTGAATTGGGAACAAGATGACTGGGACTGAATGCTCTGAATGACAATAGAAACATATAAAATTTTCCCATCTAATACAGACATATAATCTTATCACATACTTCTCACAATCCATAAGATTTAATAAGAACATAAGATTTAATAAGAAGACAATCCAGAAAGATCCTACTGATGGGGTCTACTCTGTTAACCCAGAAGAGAAGTAAAGTGAAAGAGAGAAAATTTTCTTCTCCATACTCCTCCCAGTGACCAGCTTCATCCTTCTTTCCCACTACAGTTCTACATCATCAAAGGAATTCAGTCTCCTATTTCCTTCCAGAACAGTCCCATTTTAGGGAAATGAGTCTATTTTTTCAGGACTTCTTTCTTAGGCAAAGAGGTAAAAACCCTGCCCTCCAATTTCTTTAAGAAAAAAATAAAAAAGAAGGCTCATTCTCCTAGAAAACAATGACTACTGGTAACAGGTATTTGAGGAAGGTCCCGTCCATAACAGCCCTAATGACTGTCAATGTTGTTTCTTTGGGTCTGAAATGTGTTTCCACTTCAAGGAAAGCAGCAGTGTGATACAGCAGAAATATCCTTGGGGATAATTAGTTTGAAATTCTGGACTGATACACTAGGCTTTTTGGCTTAGGGAAACTTTTCTGGGTCCCAGTTTCTTTACACAATTACACTGTAATAACAGATACCACCTACCTTGCAAAGTTATTTTTAAGGACTGAGAAATAATATGTGTAAATTAACTTGGAAAAGGTATTCTATTTGAAGGCTTATGGCTTATTCAATGGGGGCTGAAATACATAATAATTAAATCCAGATATTAAATGAAAATATAGTTTAAATAGCACAGTAGAGAGTTCCAAGGTTCCGCTTTTCCACTGAAGCAATCATTAAACTGGCAAAAACTAGGAGATTCAACTTTTTGGAACTTTGGAATCTAATAAAAAACTTAGTACAACCAAGGGAGTATATATAAAATGAAGCCAAAAGCTGCAAAATTTAAATGTGTAAGGAAATCTCTGTCAGGTCACTAGCTGATCACTGTAAAGGAATAGAGAATGCAGTGACCATACATGATAGGAATACAAACTTTGTGCAAAAAAAAAAAAAAAAGTTTGGAGAACTCATTAAATAAATGGATGACTTCACTCCACAAGAAACAAGAGCAAACCCTTGGGGACAGAGGGAAATATAATTTCCAAAGTTACCATATTATAATTTCAAAATGTTCAGTTTTCAACAACAACAAAAAAAATTATGAGGCCTCCAAAGGAACAGGAACAAATGGTACAGTCACAGGAAAAGAAGAAATTGATAGACACTGTCCCTGAGAAAGCTGTGACACGGGACCTTTTCTTTTTGGCTTAAAACAACAGAAATTTATTCTCTCACAGTTATGGAGGCCAGAAGTTGAAATCAAGTTGTTAGCAAATTTGGTTCCTTCTGGAGACCCTGAGGGGGGATCCATTCCATGTCCCTTTCTCATTGGTTTCTTTCTTTTTGTTAGGATTTTTATTATTTTTAAAAATTAATTTATAATTTTATTTATCTTTGCAATGTTCCCTCCCTCCCTTCCCACCTCTGGTAACCAATAAAGAAACTTTCCTTCCATATATAAACCTATTCTTGACTTTTTAAAATAATGAACTAATACAGTATTTGTCCTTCTGTGATTGACTTATTTCACTCAGCATAATGTCCTCTAAGTACTTCCACATTATGTGACATAGGACTTTAATAGAAAAAAATTTATAACAACTATATTAAATATGCTCAAAGAGCTGAAGGAAAATACGAGAACAATGTCTCAACAAATACAAAATATCAATAAAAGCAAAAACACATCCACGGCTGTTGACTTGATTCCAACTCACAGAGGCACTACAGGATGGACCAGAACTACCCCATAGGGTTTCCAAGGCTGTAAATCTTTATGTAAGCAAACTGCTTCATCTTTCTCCTGCAGAGAGGCTGATGTGCTTGAACTGCTGACCTTTTGGTTAGAAGCTAAATGCTTTAACTACTGTGCAACAGAGTTCCTAGGAAATATTGATAAAGAGATAGAAATGATTTTAAAAAAAGAAGAACTAAATACAAATTCTGGAGTGGAAGAATAAAGCTACTGAAATGAAAAATTCACTACATGTCTTCAGAAGCAGATATGAAGAAGCAGAATTAAGAATTATTAAACATGAAGACAGTTCAACTGACATTATTCAGTCTGGGGAACATAAGAAAAAAAGAAAAGAAAAATTAAGAATCTAAGGAATATATGGGACAGTATCAAGCACACAAACATATGCATAGGGGAGTCCTAGAAAGAAAGGAATGTGAAAGAGGAAGATAAAATATTTGAAAGAATAATGGCTGAAAACTTCCTAAATGTTAAAATACAAAGTTACACATCCAAGAAGTACTACAAACTACAAGTAGGATGAATGTAAAAAGATCCAGCCACACTGGAACACACTAAAATAGTCAAAAAGTTAAAGATAAGGAGAGAAATCTTGAAAGCAGGAAGAAAAGTAACTCATCATGTGCAAAGGGGCCTCAAAAAGATTAACAGGTGTGCTGAAGATATTGGATTTCCACATACAGAAAAATAAAATAGCATCTGTGCTTCACACCATACACAAAACCAAATTCAAATACAAAAATTAGGGACTCTCATACACTGCTGGTGGGACTTTAAAATGGTACAACCATTGTGGAAAGCAGTATGGCGATTCCTTCAAAAGTTGGAAATACAAATACCATTTGACCCAGCCATCCCATTACTAGGTATATA